AATTTGTTACCTTTCTAGATAAACATATTTACCAAAGGGTTTGCTGAGGTGGGTCTTTTCTGTCTACCTGACCTGAAAACATGAAAAGGAAAAGGGGGGAGTAAACGTGTGAACATCTCAGCAGGGATGCCAGCTTTCCTCTTTCTAGTTGAGCTGTTTCTGATATTTTGGCATTGTTCTATATATCAAATAAAGCATGCCAGTCATAATTATAAACCATTATATCGCATTTGATTTACAGTGCCTACCCTCCATCTTTTTGTGATTTCAATTGCTTTGTTTTGGGAATCAGCTTGCTTTCGCCGTAACCATTGTGTTAACCCTTTGCCATTCCTTTTAAGCATTAGAATGCGGTGCAAGACTCATGAAATGGGAGTCAGAACAGGATTTGTAAAAATAGATTTTTAGTCGACAATCCACTTCTTTCAGAATATTTTCCAAGGCGTCCTGAAGAATTGGACGATTAAACTTGTACTATCATGTCAAATTGGTTAGCAAACGCGATTTTACTGTCGTGCCATCACCAGTGTAGTCATACTTTTATTTCAAATGCACATACCTCACGGGTTCTTTGATCATTCTGAGGCAACTGAGATTTTACCGAAACTGAGAAATGAGCACGAATTAGGGAAGTCCATCTTTGAGGGAATTCGCCATGTTTGTTTTGTAATAATTTCTAAAAGAAAATTTTTCATCACTGGCATGGGAGACAAAATGGCCAAATTATAAAATGGCTATTAGGAGTTCAGACAGGAGTACAAATACAACGTTGGTGCCGTCGACATACTGCTAGGATAAGGCGCTTCAGAATACGGAAACTGGAGTAGTATTGCCCCCATTGGCTCCTAGTGTGCCATATTCAGTAAAAGGAAACAGTTGTTATATTTCTTAGCCACTGAGGTAGCTTGCGCAACGTCAACGACGACGGCAACAAAACTTCAAAAGAAGTACGTTTATTCGCACATTTGGCTACAATTCTTTGTCGTCCTTATCATTTGCACAACTCAGCGACAACTACGATATTTAATTTCAGTTATCCCTAATTCGTAGTTTTATAGAGAAAACGTGGAACTACTACGCCGAATTTCCAGTTCTTGTTTCCGAACACGTTTGCAGTTTCAGCAAAATTCTGGCCTACATTCCGTAAATTGAGTGAGCCGTAATAATCGCGATGATTGATTGTGTAACGTTGATTGAGAGTGAAAATAAAGGAGAAAGAAATGAACCGTGTCCTCGATTTCAGGACCTATCAAAAGCTGGAAATAGATATTGGCTTTCAAGCTTTAAAGTCTCGAAATCAAAATCACCTTTTTTCGTAAGCATTCAAAATATTTCTCTTTCTCTGATTGGCCTTTAACATTGTCTTCCAAGTTTATTTTTAAGTATTTTTTGACAATGCAACTTTAAAAAATTTTATCTCTGTTGTTATTTACAGTTCCATATAGCGCTATACCTCATTGAAAAGGGCAAAAATTAAATTTTTAGAAAAAAAATATTTCAGTCTCAGGAAACCCATAATATTCCGCAAAAAAAATTAACAAGACATGTTTCTGCATAAAAAATTTTTCAAAATTTATAAAGAATGTCATTTGGCTGGAAATTCGTCATTTTGTGTAACATGGTAAAAACAAATATTTTTCTCAATATCTCAGCCAAACAACCCGAAAATCGTTCAAAAATATAGAGCGGCTTGGAATTTTCTACAAATTTATTTTGTGACGCTATCAGATTATGCTAACCGGTTTATCCTAATTAGCATAATGACATTATATACTTCGGCGTCCCTACATACATACATACATACATACTTTATTTGTCATGTAGGTCAGTAAAAAAAAGGCAGCTAAAGAGCTGATGTGGACCTACAAACTAAAAAGTATCTACAAAAAAGTAACTAATAATATTAACAAACCAATGAATTATTTACAAAATTATTTACAGCCTCGTGCTGAAGTGTCTGACGCTCTGTGTTTTAAGCCCGGGCTTAACAAAAATTTTGGTTAAAATGAGCTCATGCAATCGCATGTGACAGGGAGTGATTGCACCAAATGGCGAAGCTTCACTCCGTTACAGAAATCGCGCCGAAATCACCGTTTTTATGTGTGAACAGAAGCCCTATCCGGTGTGGTTTTCGCGCCAGCGTAAGAGCTATCCCATAAGTGTGAAAACTGAATCTGTCGCTGCGCCATCTTTGTTTTTTAAGTAGGTACCTAGGTGGGGTCCTCTTTCAGTTTACTTTGATTACATGTTAGAACCATGTTGGTTGAAAACTGGGCGTTTTGTAGGGTCTCAGCTCGTAAATAATTTCTAGTAAACAGTTTTCTCCTTGTTTGTTTGTTTGTTGTTGTTTTTAATGGTTGCGTACTGAAAAGAGGGCTAATTTCGAGCCCTGGTTATCTGTATTTTGCACTGAAACGGCTGTCTCCTATTTGACAACTACGATCGACGATATACTAAGGCCTAGACCAGACGTCGAACTTTTCATGAGAGGTACCAAACTCTAATTTGGGTCGACCTTAATTAAATTAAGATCGTCTGTTGGGTCAGACTTCAAACTTGGGACGCGTCGAACTAATCAACTGAATCAAACTAAGGAGACGATCTTCAGACGGTTATATCCGTCTGAAGCAGACGAATAGAACAATCCAAACTCATTTGAAGTTAAGAAACTGATTAATGTGAAGGAAAAAACAAATAAATGTAACAGATGAGAAAATTTGCATGAAATTATGCAAACTAGTATAAGTAAAGCTTTTCGCTGCTGTCTCCTTGATTTTACAAAGGCTATCTGATTTTCCTCTTGCTAAAATGTCAAAATGGTCATAATTTCATGCAAATTTTCTCATCTGTCACATTTATTTGTTTTTTCCTTCACGTTAATTCGTTACTTATCTTACTTTGTTTTTTTGATAAATTTAGTTACTACTCATTCGAACTTAACTCACTAAGTTTGGGCGGTCTCATGAGGCCGGAGCGAAACAGCTGAAGACCTTGCACTGACTGAGAAAATAGTGGCCACAATGCTCATTTTTCTCCTCGCCATATCAGTGTCCATCAACTACGCGACTGACAAGCGACGGGAACGAGATATGAGATATGGGTTGTTCACAACTTATAAAATGTTCCGGAAAATCCGGTTGGAAATTTTTTTTTGTTTTATCGGAAAATTTCCGGAAGCAACGGAATATCTGAAAAGGTAGTCCTGTTTTTCAGGACGGAATTTTTCAAAGGGACCTGCGTTCGTGTTCTGATTTCTTCAAAGCCATTTTTGATACCAGTTTCAGGCCGGTAATCGAGGCCGTTTTTCAGTAATAAATGGAACTGATTTGTACAGTTTGGTGAACGCTGTTTCAGGACGAAGTCATTACCCGTCCTGAATTGTTCTTACCGTTTATCCAAACCGTGAAACAACCGCTTTACCCGTGTAAATGGTAAACAAGCATGATTTTGCACTGTGAGAAGGGTGAAAAGTTGATACGTTCGTGAAAAGCCAGTCATGCAAAACGATACTTATACATGAGTGTAAATAAAGATCCTTATTAAAAATTCAAAAAGGTTTTTGTTGATAAGTCACTGCTTATTACTCATTGAAGGTAACATTTTAAAGCAAATCGTAACGGCTGTGCTGTAGCTTTTTACAGGCCAGCGTTAACGTGGCTTCCTATTATGTCCTCATCCCCATCCCCCACTTCCTTGCCCCTTCAGGACTTTTACAAAAAAACGGCTGGCTACGCCCATGACCACCGACCAGTGTTTAAAAATGTCAGCCAAAGGGGCTTACAGACGTCACGCAAAGAAGCCGTGATGAGAGGTGGCAGTGTTTACACTCTATGGGCGGATAGTTCTCCCTTTGGCCTATACATGTACGGAGGCTTCTCCCAAAAGGGTTACTTTATTATTAGTTTTTTTTTTTTTTGTCAGGCTTCAGGCATATTAAGGGATGAGGATTTTACTAGTTGAAGTTTATGAAAGGATAGGGAAATCTGTCATTTCGGTCTGAAAAAATGTATTTATGACTGTGAAAAAGTCGATAGATCGTTCTGGTTTTGTGATTGTTATTCATATTTTAAAGAGTGACATTTTAACTTTCTAAACTAGGTATGTGAAAGGTGTACCATTTGTCAATAGACTCTGACCAGAAGGTACACGAAAAAGGTACCTTTTCCGACAAAAATAGGATATAAAAGGGTGAGGGGTTTGACCTCAGGGCAGAGCCTCCCCGTATAAAACTTTGTCGTCCCCTGAATACCTAAGCCAACCCCCCCCCCCCCCCCCCCCCCCCCCCCC